TTCAAAAGTGCTTCATCTCTTTGCTATGACTGTCGCCCGGCATAATTTGTAGATGATAATGGTTTTAGCCGCTGCGATGCTTTCGACCAAAACAGACGCAGCTTGATGACATCTTCAACATGCGCTATCGCGGTAGAGCGGTATAGTGAAAATCTCTATCATTGGCCAAATTTATATAGTTTCTATCGTATATCGTTTATATCGCCCACCCCTATTTTTATGGTGGAAATCATTATTTTAAGGAGATGTTTTTCAGAGAATCCATATGAATGAATAAAAAACTGTTCCAGCAGCTCATGGATGACTATCACCCGTCTGTTTGTAGTCTTGTTGTAGTCAGAGAAACTCAGATTACAGCATAATGCCCATACTTTATATCCACGGCTCCTCCTGAAGCTGCTTTTCATGTGCCTTTGTAAACGTCTTCCTCATCCCTCACTGCAGAGTCACTCTCACTCAGTCTGGGACCAGCTTTTCCAAATTTATAATCCCAGTTACTAAATTAATGGGAACCCCCGATTCATGGTCACCTAATCCAGCCCTAACTATACGAAGGTTTGAAGCCTAATCTTAAAAGTAGAGATAGTGTCTGTCTCTTGAATCCAAACTGGTAGCTGCTTCCACAGAAGAGGGGCCTGAAAACTGAAGGCTCTGCCTCCCATTTTACTTTTAAATACTCTAGGAACAACAAGTAAATCTGGTGCTCTCGAAGAGACGAGAGCACCATGATAACATTAGCAGCTCAATATGTCACAGTCGGAATAATTTATAAAAAATAAAAACTGCTGAGTAAGTCTCTATTTCTCTTATAATCTTTCATCTGTGGTTTAAAATAACCTGAGGCCTTTATTCTCGTAACCAGCAAATCATCGAGGCAGTGGTCGGGTTTTTCCACAGCAGCCAGGTTTGTGTGAGGCAGGGAGCTAAACAGCTTAGAGGCATTTTACATGTTTACCTAATATACAGTACACACACACACACACACACACACACACACACACACACACACACACAGTAAACACCAGCAGAGGGTGATTCAGAGGGTGGTAAAGCACTCATCATGAAACATCACACAAACAAAATCACTGTTACCACCTTTTGTTTCTCTCTGTGTGTCATGTCGAGTGTGTGAACACACACACACACACGCTGCCACACAGTGTGTGTGTTTATAGACACTGAGCAGCTCTGGGAGCGCTCGCTGTTATAAACGGGTCGCAGCAGAAACTTTGCTTCCACATTTCTGATTTTGTCTTTTAACATCAAAGTTTATTTACATCATTTACAAAAGTAAGAACTAAATTCATCAAATAAAATAGTTTAAGTGAAAAAGAACATGAAAGAAAAGACCTTTCCAAACGATTCATTCATTCTTTCCATTGTTTTATTTCTGCCTTTGAGATTGTCGTTAAATTATCCCTGCACTTCGTTAAAGTGCTATTTGGTGTCGTGTTTTTAGTTGTAGTCATAAAATATTTGGCTGACTTAATTGAGTTTGAAATGATTTTTTCTGATTTAAATGAATGAAATAAATAACTGTGTCCTCCAAGGATTAATTGGGTGTAATTGCTGATTTCAGTTTTTTGTGCTGTTTTTTAAAAAAACATTAAAGTTTAAATTCCTTTATTATTATTCCTGACTGCACCTTTTTTCTCTCAGAAATTCTTCAAAGGCAGTAATGAAATAAAAACCCAGTTATGGGGATTTAATTGAACTGTAGGTTTTATCATTCCCATTAAAGCTCGTCTTTGTGATTGTGTTGTTGCAGACGCCATCGAGGCCTCCGGCTCTATTCTGCAAAACAAGATTACAAGCTTCATGCTTTTTATCGGCATTTGTTATAAATGCAGATGGTCGTTTAGTTTACGTGGCTTCGCCATCAGGAGGTGACCCAGCCAGAAACAGTTTGATTGGACGGGACAGAAACGTGATGAATATGAGAGCATCTGAAATGATTCCTGCATGTTTGCTTCTCCTCTCTGACCTTTCTGTTTGAATCATCTTTTCTTAGATCTTACATGTTGGACGTCCTCGTCACACAGTCCCTGCTAATAAAGTTTATTTATTCAAAGGACTTTCAGCTAAACACAGTCTGTCATCCTGACTAAACACAGCGCCTCCTCCTCCACCTCAGGGCTTCTTAATGCTTCTAAACTGCTCTGAATTATAGCCAACACAGCTCCGTGTGTGTGCGCAGGATTTACTGCAGGCAGAGGTGTACCGGCCTGTTCCAGAGCAGTGTTTGGGTTAGGCGGATGGAAAGCCTTCGCGGCCATTCCCTCGTACTGAGGTTATTTATAGACGCGGACATTGACAGCGCAGAGACGAGGCGGCTGACTGACCGACTTTTTGTCTGCAGAGCTGTTAGTGGTGGTGTTTTCTGCCTTTGAGTGAATTACTGGCTGACTGCTGTGCAGCTGCCTTTTTGTCCATCAGGTTATTAGTGGCATCACAGACAAACTGTGATGCCACTAATCAATAGCTGAAATTGATTTCTTGCACATACAAGTCCAGGATTTTACAGCTGACTGAGAGTGGCAAGCTATCACCTCATCTCAGGATTTCTTTGTTTTGTCAAACTGCAGTAAATTTGTGTGTGTGTGTGTGTGTGTGTGTGTGTGTGTGTGTCTGTCCAAGGTGTGTGAGCAGTGACGCGTAGTTTAAAACCTGCAGAGTGAAATCCATTGAATGTACTTAAAAAGATGGAAGTAAAGCTGATTTGGGGAGGGGGGGTGGGGTGGGGGGTGTGAATGCTCCATCATTTAGAATGATGGCCCATTGTGGGGTAAAATAGATGATTTATGGTAGTTTTTTAACACCTGGATCAGTGTGATGTCATAGAGAGTGGCTATTTCTAATGAGGTCATCTCATTCATCCCATCTACAGTTGTCTTAGAGGGGGAGGAGCTAAAGCAGCATGTTTCAGACAGAAGATGAACTGGGAGGCGTGCTGTGCAGCTCCAAAGGTTCAGACATGCTCAGCACGCGTCCGAAACTTTAACCCGGCTGTGACAAAATAAAACAGGAAGTAACAGAAGACGGGAACACCTACACGGGGCGACAATGCACACAGGAAACACAAAACACTAAATAAACCAAATCACTTGAAGCAGAAAGCTAACAGAAAATAGACATTAACTGAACTAAAGTATAACCAACAGACTCAAACTCCAGCAGATAATCCAAAACATAAGAGAGAATAAGTGATTTTTGTTTGTGTGTGTGATGCTGCAGCGTGTGACATGTGCTAACATGTGCTAAAACACACAAAATCACCATCAGGTTTGTGATGGTGATAACAGATGCCGCCACATGCTCGTTACTAAATCAGGCTCATCCCACATTAGCAGACTTGTGCTGAAGCCACACCCACATTTCTCTATTTGAGGAAACACCTGTACCTGGAGGTGGCTCATGGTGTTTTGCAAAAACATAAATATACAATGTTCATAATAATATAAATAGTGGCCAGGATGCAATAATACTGGTAGTAACATTAAAGACTTGTACAGGTGGGCGTAGGAACTTTAAATCTAAAGCAAATTCAGGTTCATGTACAGAAGTCATGCACAGATCTGTGTGTATGCATGTTAGGAAGTGAAGGCTAATGTGACATCACATTTTTTCATCACTCAGCTGCTCTACGTACAGACCCCCATGCCTCTACCACAACCGTTATGAAACATGTAGGCGACACAGAATCACTCAGAGACAAGTGGTTCATCGAAAAGTGAAGGCTGTTTATGCTTTGAATGAAATGGGCTGTGTTTCTGACAACATGCGACTCATCAAATCAATAAAAATGTGAGCAAAGCGTTATCAACCTCCTCTCTCTGAACTGCTGACTAGCACAAGCCCGCTGTAGCGATTGGTGAAGAAGATGAGAGTAACACATGGCTCTCTGTGGTTTTTGTAAAGTTTGTCGTCTTTATCTTGGTGAAATTGGACTGAGATTTAGTGTGACTCGTCTGTGGGATCCGTGCTGCTGGATAAAGACAGTCACTTAACACAGAAAAAAGGAACAAAACTCAGCAGGAGCTTAGAAATCAGTGAGGATTCATCCCAAAATCTCATGTTCTTCACTCAGACATGTACGTGTGTGTGTGTGCGTGCGTTCCTTTTCAGTGTGTGTAAAGATTGTCGTTCCCTTTGCTTCTGTTTCTTACATTTACAGCAGGAGCAGCTGATCGTGCACCACTGTGTGAAAAGCACACAGGCATGATGCAAACTCAGTCAAAGGGACGCAACAAAGGATGGGGGGGGGGGCAATTATTAAAGAAACCTGAGACAACACACAGGACACAAGACCACCAAAGTAAAACAGCAGGAAGTAACAGGAGCCGTGTAAGAGGACAGACTCACACACACGAACAGGAACCAACAAACCTTTAATCAGCCAAACCTGAGGCACCAAACCCATAACATGAACATAAGGTCACAGCACAGACACAAGTCCTTCTTGAAACCAAAAACAAACCATGACACACTGTCCTGCTCCTCACCTGTGAGCCTTTGGCCAGTCACAGTCCTCCCTGACCTCCCCAGGACAGCATGCATGTTTGACCTGCCATGCTGACTCTGATCAGAGTATTCTGGGAGGGTGCGCTGCAGGAGAAGAGCTTTAGTTTTAGACATTTATTCATCTTTAAAGACCTTAGAGTTTTAAATAGCCATGCTGTGGGAGGAGCCAGACAGGTGTGGACCCTGACTACAGGGACCGGTGGTCGCTGGGTAAAATGCTGCTTCCAGCTCGGGATGGAAGCACTGTGCTCTCTAAAATACATACTTCACGTTCTTAAACCTGACAGGCTCCAATGGTTATGACCTCAGTCAGAGAGTAAGTGCTCTCAGTCAGTGCGTGCAACTCTGACAACGCATGGACATCCTCCTAATGTTTGCATTTATGATGAACTAACTGATCCCGCCTCTCTTTCTTCAGGAAAATCAAGACCAACTACTTCATCGTGTCGCTGGCGTTTGCCGACTTGCTCGTGTCGGTGCTGGTGATGCCGTTCGGCGCCATTGAGCTGGTCCACCAGCACTGGATCTACGGCGAGACCTTCTGTTTGGTGAGGACTTCTCTGGACGTTCTGCTCACCACCGCGTCGATACTACACCTGTGCTGCATCGCCCTGGACAGGTGAGACCGTCTGACTGTCTGTCCTCTGTGTGTGTGCGTGTCTGATCTGCTGGAATCTACCACTTAACCTGCACCGCTCTCATTCTCATTGGTCGGGGTCTCTCGTGCATGTGTGCACATATACTGAATATAACGATTGGCTGCAGGCCACATCAAACCATTGGCTTTGATTGGCTGGCTCGAGTCTATCAATTCCCACACCTCTGATGGAGGGGCTCGTTTTCTGTTCTTAATTATTCATCATCCTGCAGGAGACTGAGGTGTGTGTGTGTGTGTGTGTGAGTGTGTGCGCATGTGCGAAAGAGAGAGAAATTTTTTGAGGGTTTTTCTCTGCTTTCGCAGACAAAAGCAGCTCTTCTTTAATTTCAGGGTGAAGACACGTTTTAACCTTTAAGTTAAATATTCCTAGCTTGTGTTTTCTTGTCTTTTATTAATGTTGCTTGTATCATGTTGTTTAGGTTTTTGCAGACAGCTGGAGTGAACATCAGCATTTCTTCCTGACTTTTCAAACACGGTTTTAAATCCCACCAAAGTGATCCTGAGGGAACAAATTAAGCTGCACAGCCTCCTCCACCTGAAGGAGCTCTGAAAGTCAGAGTTTGTGGAACATGTATTTGGCTTCACTCGAACTTTGATGTAATCTAATGACGTTTGAAAGTAATCAGATTAGTCGGTGCATGCTATCTGTGTACAAGTGTGAGCAGCAGCACTGTTGAAATGAGTCTGTAGCAATCACAGCTAAGCAGTGAGATGTGGGTGAAAGCAGAGCTGCTGAGACAAAGCACAGTTAATCTTCACACTGACTCTGGGAAAAGATATAAAACCGGTTTCAGTGGCAAACACAGCCTAAATGTGTTTTTCAGCTCTGAAAATGTCGTACATGATAAAGTTGGTAAAGTAACTTGAACTGCGACCCACTCCTGTGAAAATATTCACAGTATGAAGGGAACATTTTGCACGTCTTCATTAGGTTATTGTACAAAGATTCAGCTGGTTGTGAGCGGGCCGAGGCTGGACTGTTTGGATTTGGATGATTTCACGTGGAACAATCCTCATTACAAGTTGCTGTGTGGCCCTGCGGGCTGGTGCTGGATGCTGACGAGCGCTGTGCTGTGCATCATTCACTAATGATGTGTCCGTAATCAGAAAACAGGCAGGACTCTGTGACCTGTCTGAGGCCTGCAGGCTGAATGCAGAATAAATGTTTAATGACTCTGACTGTTATTTATCTGTTTCACAACAGTGAGCTCCAACTCTCACATGTGCATGTATTTTTAATGCAGAGCCACAAACAGCAAAGGAGGAAATGGTTTCTTTATTAAATTATCTGGCTTCAGGAGTTTTGTATTCCTGTGTATGTACAGCTGTCTCTGCATCCTGGCACAGCTTCAATCACCAATTCATAGCAAGGCAATCGCCCCTCGTTACCCCCGAGTGCCCTGTCCCTTGTGAATGATCAAATCTACTGTGTGCTGCATTTTCCTCCCCTACCTGCTAATTAGCTGCACACACACTTCCTGGTTTTCATGTGAGTGACAGGCTGTGTCCCAATTCAGGGTCTGCACGCTTGAAGTACGTGCACTAAGCGTACTACGTACGATGCGTCCTATAAGTACGAGAAGTGCAGAAGTGAGAGGCTTGTGAAATGGGACGGTCTAGCCTTCGTCGCGCTGTTCAGGTTGCCTAGCAACCATGATACTAACCGCGAGAAACGTTACATACAGCTTTGTGTGACAGAAATGAAGGAGAAAAAATGTTTTGTTGGTCATTCATTTTTGTCATGACATCACTTTGATTAGTTGAGTATCTGAGGCTGAGACCACAGGACTGTAAAACATGATAGTTGGGCTTCATTTCTGTACTGAACAGTCATTTCAAGATTAGTTAGTAAATAACAATTAGCTGATGTTGTTCATGAGACTAAAGTCATCTCACTGTGGTAATGTAAATATAATATGACCAATATTATAGTATTGTCAGATTATTATGATATATAATATATATATATATTAGGGGTGCAACGATACACAAAATTCACGGTTCGGTTCGGTTCGGTTCGATACTTTTGTGTCACGGTTCGATATTTTTTTGATACAAAAAAAAGTTCATGCCTTTTTAATTTGTCATTTGTTAAATTTTCACGTCACATTCTGCACCACATCTCTGTGCGTTCGTCATTTGTTTGAAGCCAGCTCACCTCCTGCAACCACTTTTCCGAGAATACGTGCTTCTTTTGTGGTTCGGACTCGTTCTGACATTTCTTTGGAGGTGGAGGAACACCAAAGTAATTGCTTAAAGGAGCTTGCTTCTTCGCCATCTTTAAGAGTTCTAAACAAATGTCTGTCCTCC